AACGTAATGTATGTTTTCTTCTATGTACGTATTTATGTAATCTGAATGTGTATATATGTATGTCTGTATATATTGCTGTATAAATGTATTTATGCGTGACGTTTGACTTATATGTCTATATTTGTAGGTATATTGAGTATGCATGTATTCATTTAAGTTTGCATGTATTATGTATGTATGTATGTATGCATGTATGTATGTATGTATGTATGTATGTATGTATGTATGTATGTATGTATATATGTATGTATGTATGTATGTATGTTTGTATGTTTGTATGTTTGTATGTATGTATGTATGTATGTATGTATGTATGTATGTATGTATGTATGTATGTATATATGTATGTATGTATGTATGTTTGTATGTTTGTATGTTTGTATGTATGTATGTATGTATGTATCTTTGTATGTATGTATGTATGTATGTATCTTTGTATGTATCTTTGTATGTATGAATGTATGTATGTATGTATGCATGTATGTATGTATGTATGTATGTATGTATGTATGTATGTATGTATGTATGTATGTATGTATGTATTTATGTATGTATGTATGTATTTTTGTATGTATGTATGTATGTATGCATGTATGTATGTATGTATGTATGTATGTATGCATGCATGTATGTATGTATGTATGTATGTATGTATGTATGTATGTATGTATGTATGTATGTATGTATGTATGTATGTATGTATGTATGTATGTATGTATGTATGTATGTATGTATGTATGTATGTATGTATGTATGTATGTATGTATGTATGTATGTATGTATGTATGTATATCTACGTATCTTTGTATCTATGTATATATGCGCATATGCATGCATTACTTGAAACTTTTTCCTGAAAATTATTTCTTTTTGAATGTGCCAGTCTTTTGGACGCACTAGAGTGTGAACTTAGAACGGGGTCAAACTCATGTAGTTACACGTTACAATTGTGTAAACGGTGGCAACTTCTCTGCCAGCGTCAATGTTTTGTGCGCTTTAGTGAATGTGTGTATGTTGAATTGTAAGTATGTATTAAAGCAGGCATATTAGTATGTATATATGTGTGTAAGTGTATATGTATGCCTGCATGTGTGAATGTATGTTTGTGTGTATGTTTGTTAGTATGTATCTATATACGGATATTGCTATTTTTTTGTATGAATATATATATATAGAGAGAGATATGCATATATGAATTTATAATTGTTTGTATGTGTCTTTATGTGTATAGGTGTGTGTGCAGATGTGTAGCTATGTATTTATGTATGTATTTAGCATAGCCAGCTCTTTTTTTAATTCTGCTTCTTGTGTCGGATCCTGATAACACTATACCTTGCCTGGTTGGTTCCTATGTATGTATTTTATGTATTTACGTATCTATGTGTACGTGTGAGTGTGTCTGTGTGTGAGTTTGTGTTCGTGCGTGTACCTTGTGGGTATGTATTTTACTTCTCAATTGGTATCAACTGTATTGATACGTGTAATGTGTTCGTCAGCTTACACCTCTCTGTGCCGCTAGTTTCGTGTTACAATGAAAGCAAAAAAAAAAAAGGACAGATTTCACCAAAGTACAGCATGTCAAACTGGACGAATAACCATATTTGTGGATCATTTATAAAATTACTGCCTGACCTACTTGTAGATTAACTTGCCCGACCAGTCAATGCATCCTAGGATCTTGATATAAGAAAATACAATCGTTTAATGCTAAGGGAGAGTACCCAAGCAGAAACAAACCAAGACACATGCTGCTGAAGTGTTATATAGTTTACTTTTACTGACTGATGCTGCACTGCTCTGTTGAGGAGCTCTCGGCGAAGCAGGATACAGATTTATGAAGTGTTATATAGTTTACTGTTACTGACCGATGCTGCACTGCTCTGGCTAGGAGCTCTCCGCGAAGCAGGATACAGATTTATGAAGTGTTATATAGTTTACTGTTACTGACTGATGCTGCACTGTTCTGTTGAGGAGCTCTCAGCGAAGCAGGATACAGATTTATGAAGTGAAACTAATTATACATAAATAGTTTGCTTTAAAGTTTGTTTGTTTTTTCTTCAAATTTAAGGTTTATCGTAGTTTAGCTGCAGTATCTTTGTGAGCCTCTCAGCCTATATATTATTATATAACGGACAACCAGCTTAAAAACAAAAAAATTATAATCGAGAGTCGGGTAGAACCCCAGTAGAAAAGTGTTTACACTTTATATGAACTATCCTTTTGTTGTTTTTTTTTACAGGTGTCAAATTATAGTTTTAGAAAATCTCTAAATATTTAAATTCACATTTTAAAAAAAAATACTTGTAACAAAGTGGTTCGTTTCGATTTGAAATCTCCATATAGTTTCATTTCTATATATTTCTCACCATGTTGAGGTAACAATTAAATCAATTCTACAAAATAATGAGGTATATAAGCAAGTTAAAAGGGAACGGTTCTCGGCCCTTGGTCGTGACCTCCAATGTGGTTCAGTGAGGGATCTCCGTTGCGTCTCCGGCCAAAACAGTAAACTAACGAAATCGTGGACTATTGGAAAGTTTAAAATTATCAATTGTTGTCTGCGCTTAGGGTGGATTATTTTAATATTAGTTAATATTACGATACAATTAACACGCTCGTTTAAATGTTTCTTCGTAGATCATCATTTATTTTACTTAACACACAATTTTTTCAATGTATGGTAAAGTCTGTAAATATGTGTAAACATCACAAACGCTTGGGTTAAAATGAAAAATAATAATACTATTCACAGATATTGCGCTATTCGCAGTTATGGCGCTATTCGCATGTAATGCGCTATTAGCAAATTAAGACAGAAAAATCAATAAGCAGAATATTTTTTTTTAAAATAATTATACATTGAAAGTGTAAAGGAATGAGTATCAAAAAATCAAAAAGTTAATAAATTACGGAACAAAACAAGATTTTATTACGATGCACATTGTGCCTGCAGTCCATTGACGTCAACAGGAGAATGTTCAGTATGAGAGAACTCGGCTGTGAACATTTCAATAATTTTTTAAAGAAAATAGACAACTGCACTAAATATGATTCTTAAAAATACTGAAATTGCATTTGGCGCGTCGGAAACAGTCCCAAATTAAATTTGAAGCCTTACATCTGCCTTATACAGGGAGTGGGACATTAAAATATTGATATTCGTTTTAAAAAATGTGAGAGGTTGTGAACGGGAGGGAGGGGGTGGCAAGGGGGGGGGCGTTAACCCCAATAGGGATTCTTAAAAAGTAAGTTACTTGAAAACATTGTTTGTCCAGCATGCTGTCCAGTAATTTTAAGAATTTCGGCCGTGATAGTCAGCGGTCTCAATAGCGGTTTTAATTTGAATAAAATTACGTATTGCATTTTAACATATTCCATGTTGTATTTTTTTTTTTAAACATTTATATTAAGTTTTCGTTCTTTCGTGTTTCTTTCTGGGTTTTTGGTAAAACATTTTGAAGTTCCTTCAACAAATCGAGCTGCAACTGGGCACATAGACTCATTGCGACTTTTTAGCAAATTTTCAGCCACATCTTCCAACCCCTAAAGTAAGTTTTAGCAATGCCAGATTTCACGAAATAAAATTGCCGATGACTGTGCTAAATAACATGCTTTTAAATAAAAATTAAAACTAATTAATTGTTAGTTAAATAAATCTGCGGTGCAAAAACTGTTGGAAAATTAGAATATTAATATAATCTGGGGCGTGAAAAAATATGCGGTAGTGAGCTTTGGGGAGCACTAATTGTGATTCTTTTAGACTGCGCTACCTGAATGTATGTTTTGTCAAATGTTGATTCCCCCCCCTTCCCGCTTTCTTTCTCCCAATTTGCAAGATGTTACATTTTATATAGGAAAAAACTTATCTTTTAGTGGTTGTTTAACTTAATACGTATTCCCGTAGACAGGAGCAGGCCATATTTATGAAGTATTGATGCGAAACTATTAGCTGTTGTAGGGAGAGTGAGTTTTGTTTTTTTTATCGTTGAACAGAAAAAAACACTTATGACCAACCCTATTTTGAAAGTGACCAAGCTGACCTGCTCGGAATTTCCCTGACTCATGAACACTAGCAGCAATTTTAATAGGGACTCTATGATACTGCGTCAATTGTTACGGTTACGATTTACACAATTATGGTTGTGCATTAACCCCTAAGCGACTTTTTAAAACTTTTGTCAAAACCGCACTTTGGCCGCCATGTTTGTCTCAAAAAGTTCTATAAAATAAAAAAACATTTGATGCCATTTAAAACGGTAGTTTCCATAATAATCAACAAACAACTATAAATAACTCTGATCTCAGATCGTAATGCCCATGTAGTTGTTAACCTCTCTTTCACATTCAACCTTGAAAATATTGACTTTGACTTTTTCGACCATTTCCTCTCCGTATTTTTGGTATTCGTCTTTGATATTTTAATAAATCAAACAACAAATTGATCCTAATAAAGTCCTCATAGAATAAATACCTATAGACATATGCAATCTGATGTACGTTGCTGAAGACTATCATCATCAGTTCACGTGTTGTAATAGACAGGTCAGAACGTTGAGTTTTCAGTGGCAAGTAAATATTTTTTTCCGCCATATAGTTTTGAAAGGTGAAGCAAACTATATATTTAAATCAGGAACAGTTGATCTTGTGACCATCACCTCTGCCTCTTCCTTTGTCAATGGGGAGAATTATTAGGTTTTTTTGTTTTTTTTTATTAATTATTTACGTTTTTTAAATATCTAAAACATGCTATCTATTATATTGGGCTGTAGGGTCATTTGTCAAATTCTTTTTTTTTAATGTCAAAGCACAAAGCAAGTTATCAATTTTTATAGTTGAAGAGAGTTGCATGGAAAGATTCTGTCTAAAAATTTTGCTGTCAATGTGTATTAGTTTTCAGTGCCACCAGTAGAAGTGTAACACAAGGCTGTGTAGGCTGATATCTATAAATTTACATTCATTTGGCTTAAAACACACATAAAATGAAAACTAGTAATTTTTTTAGGTCTAGCTTTATTGTCACGTGATTATTACAGAAAAATGATTGGCTGAGGAAAAAAGTATATCATGATAGGAAACGAAATATATATACATATATGCTACGACGTGATATGTAGGTATATTACACAACCTGGATAAATACTGTACATATGTATAGGAAATAGTTGAACATATTTGACATTTTAAGAAACCAGCTATAATATAATCATAACAGCCCATCTTCATATATAATTGGAGCAGAGCAAACTAAGTATATCTTGATAAGAAAGTAAATATACAAATATACTACGACATGATATGTAGTCACATTGCACAATCTGCCACATTAATGTACATTTATTATTCCTTAAAAAGTTAGCAAAGAAGTCGAAGTTAGCGAAAAGATAGATATACATCAGGCCTAGTGCGCACATATTCCCATCTTAAAAACTAATCAGCAAAAAAGTTTAGTGAGATTGGAGAAACTGACGCTTGGGTTTCAAGATATCATGATTGTTCGGTTTGGAATTGCTGCATCCAATTAAAAGAATTGTTTTCAAACGTTTAACAATCCCTCTCTTTTGATGTGTTGACTTCAGAAACTTTATATTTGAAAATGTTTGCTTATAGACATAAGATGTTCTTTGCAAGGTGCAAACGGAGGCCAACTCTTCCGTTATCTGAAAGTCCAAACGGACACTACAAAAGAACACGAACGTTTGTGAGAGATAGTAGACTCAACCAGTGCCAGAGAAAACCACAGCTTTATCGCGTATCTGTGGCAATGTGCTCTCTTCAAGTTCTTCTGCTCTCCGCACAACTGAACTTGCCGAAAGTCTGTTAGTTCCAAAAGCGGCAAATACGAATTTTAATGTCCCCGTATGGTTCCAACACTCCTATTTCTTTCACAAATTTACAGTTTGAGGTAGTCATCAGAATAAAATATATTAGCGGAAATAGGCTTAATGGAAATATGTTCTTATTTTATAAATTTTTGTTTCAACCAGCTTTTCCTAAAAACAACAACTTCAAGTTACTTGGTAGTTTGTTTATTTTTTAAATGATGTCATCATTTGCTAACTAATTCTTATTTAAATACATCTTGTTTTATGCTGATCTGAGTTTGAGTTTGAACCTCGTTAAATTTCCCCTGTAACATTATTTTTACCAGTGACAGACTGTGATAATGTGATATGTCACTCAACTCAATATACATTAATATGTATGGGCAAAAACACGTTTGCAAAACAAATAAAAAACACAAAAAAGGCAGATTACAATATAAACGGCGGCCATCTCATTTTAGAAGTTGCATTTTTTAAGGTTAGCTTAAGTCTATCCCACTATGCACTACAATGTGATTAGTTATCGTATTTATTAAGTATGCTGTATGGTTATTTATTGACTATTAAGATACCGTATTGTGCTATTTTGCTGCCACAAATGACTCGGGCGAGGTATAGGACAGAGCTCAGTTGTAATCAGTGCGCAATAGTTTTTGTTTTTTTTTGTTCGGGACTTAACTATGGGTCGCATCACGTTTGATAGATCATGAATGAGCTGGCGGGGCACTTCCGGGAGGAGAGAGAGAGGATATTAGATGCTTTTGAAAAGGTTATATTTTCTTCGATAGACTTAGCTTTAATTGTTATAACATCAAGAAATGAATACATATACAGCATCCATACACTTGGAGTTGGGAGTTGAGAGTTTTCATTAAATTTACGTTGTGCTTTGTCTGTCCCAAAGTCTAGACACCCACAATTTAATCAATAGAGAGAAGCGGCCTTGTAAAAACGACTACTAAATTAATATAGTTTGTTATATGTCAGGACCGGAGCCCTCCTCCACAACAATCATTCTGTGACAATCATTCTATTTCTGTGAACACTCCTTTCCCTTTTGTGTCGAGGTCATTAATCTCAGACAGGAAATAATCAATACTTTCAAGTTCCTCCTCCAGCTTGCCTGTTCCTAAATCTTCTTCGCGTGTGTAGCTGTGTAGCGCCAATGCCCTGTGTCTCAGATCCTCTTTGTGCATATCTGGATTGATAACTTTCTGAAGGTCATCACTCAACAACTTGAGACTCAAGAAAAGTGGGGTATCGATTTTGTCTCGAAGTTTTAAATAAAGTTCACGTTTCTCTTGGTTTTTCTCTTTCTTCTTCAAGTTAACTTTTAAATTCTCCAAACTCTTCATCAAGGATTCTAAATCTGGCAAATGAGACGTCGTGCTCTTTAAGACTTCGTCTATTTTTGCAATAAATGCCTTTTCTTGAGAAGTTATCAGTTTAAGTTCACTTTTTAATGACTTCAGTGATTTATTTATTTGATCTTTAAGTTCAACCAAAAATTTATTTAAAAGAAGTTGATCTCTGCTACATTGGTGTCTTTGAAATTGCTCGTTTGTGTACAGTTTGCCTCCTTGTATTACATTTTCTGTTTCTTTTTTCAACTCAATTACCTCTGCATCTCTTTTGTCTTCATATCTTTTGCTATTGTGAAATAAGACAACCCTAAAATTGCATTTTGCTAGTAAGTTTCCCAGGGCTCCTTCTTGTGCTCTGCACCAGGTTTTGAAGATTCTTTGGCTGACATTTTCATCAGTAATTTTGTTCTCAATATCAAAACTGTCGCCGTGGGTAAAAATCAATATGGTGAACTGAAACATTTCTTCACCAAATATTTCTGTTAATACCTCAATCACGTTCTGGTCCTCTTTGGTAAATTTATTGTCACATCTCAAAACTATTACAAAAACATGAAAACCTTCTGGACAAATTTTCATAGCGTTTATCATGTTTTTCCTGGCGAATTTGGCGTTTGCAATTTCATCTAGATCAGTGTCTGCAAGGCCTGGCGTATCAGTCACACTAATCTCTTTCCCCCATCTCTGTACCCGATAGTTACCAACACTTTTTGTGGTTGCAGTTACTTTGCTAAGAGACGCAAAGTGAGGTGAGTCTTCAGGTAATCCCACAATAGCTTTACACGAAGAGCTTTTCCCATTTCCAGTTTTACCGATGACAAGAAAATTTAGATTTGAATTCAACCTTTTTGAACTTTTTTTTCGATCACCTCGTTTTGATGATTCTGCTCCCATTCTTTGTCTGAGTCGACGTATGAATGACTAGCTGAAAGACAAAAACAAAGACAAAGAATTTATAAAATGATTAGTTAAATAATAACAAGGACAATTTTAACAACGGATCGTTCTGTCCATTTACAAACAACCATTTTAAATCTGCATTTAACTCAGTCATTTAGCCCCCCTTCAAAGCCATAAATATATATATATATTTAAATACTGGTGGGTTCTGAGCTCACAACATCCACTATTTTGGGGCTTGAGGAACCAATGTCATTTTCACTTCCATTTTGTTGTGCTTTTTACGCGTACGCCTCTGCGTTGACTAATGGATCTTAACCAAGCTCAGCACAGATATCCTTCATTATCATGAATGAAATACTGGGGTGTGCATTTTTTTCCTTATATCTATTATATAAATATAATTTCCAACACAGCTATACTGTGGATGGATCGATGGATGGATCTAGCCCAAACTTAGTCCACAAACACTTGATAGTCCATTTTCAGAAAGTTAAGAGAAATGATCTGGGTGCTGGCTGGGCCCATCCTAATTTTTTCTTTTCATTTTATAAGCTGTATGAATATTTGTCTATACCAATTATATAGGCAGTTATGAGGATTGATTGATCTAGGCCAAGATTAGTTGCAAAACCCTTCTTAGTGCATATTGAAATATCGCTGGGTTTATCGGTCATATTAACGTCATTCGAGGGTCAATGTCCAGCCTGTTTAAATGAATTCTAATGGGACATTTGTTTTAATGTTAACTCAATGATTTATTTGAATGATTGTTATTGGACGCTATATCCCAGACATAACGGAACCTGTTTAACTTAAATAAAAAGAAAGAACCAAAACTAAGACCATCGGTGAACGCTCCTTCTACTTCCATGGGCCCACGTTCTGGAACCAGCTCCCCTTCCATATCCGTCATTGTGAAACTTCGTCCACTTTCAGAAAGTCCCTTAAAACCCATCTGTTTAGGTCCGCCTATGACCTGTGATGCACCCTCCTTGCCCTGCCTCATTTTCTGTCTCGGGTTTATCCTGTAGTATAGTCCAAAACGTGCCAAAGTGTCCTCGTTTTATAGCCATTTTAATTGTTTCTATAGTATAGTAGTTACTATCCTAGTGTCTCATTTTTATTTTACTTAGTTTACATGTTTTTAATAATTGTAAAGCGCTTAGAGCTTTAAGGTAAGCGCTATATAAAAATGCCTAAATAAATAAAGAAATAAACAGTACTGACATTTTGTTTAGATTTTCTTGTATTCGAAAAATGATTACATAGCTCAGTCGTTTGCCAGTATTTTTGTGGGTGGGGGAATATTTTATTTTAAATTTAGAATTCCCCATAAAGTTCTATATTATTTTATAGTGGGATCTACAATGATAATTCAGTTATAGAGTTTTCTACATCTTCCTGAAAATTTTCTCAGTATTTTGGATTTAAATTTTTATTAGTTTCTTAAAGTTTTTAGATTATTCAAGAAAGTTCAATGTTTTTGGTTATAGTTATATATAAATGGCATTAAAATGTTTTTTATGTTGCTTTGATGCTCAAGGCGTTTCCTCGCATGCTATGAAATAAAATGTAAAGATTTTTTAATTTTTTTTTTGAAAGTTTTTAGAGTATTCCAAATTAAATTTCTATTGCAACGGCCTAACCTATGTACATAACTGTAAATTACAGTAAACCATGTATTTGTATTAATTGATCGTTGCCAAAATTTGCCTCCTAGGTATACCTTTAAGTGACACTCATAGAACAGAATTCTAAGAGTAAAAGATCCCACCGGTGACAAGGATACAACAAGGAATGGGATCCAACTGAGGAATGGGGTAAAATCAGGTAACGATGTATCACAGGGATCGGCATCCCACTGAATAAGAGCGTGGAAATCTTTAAACGAAAATAAGGAATGTTACTCTAGCACACGTTCTCTGCTCTCATTGTGCCACACTTCACTCACTCAAAAACCTTTCTCCGAACTTACCAAATATCTATACAGAATTAAATAATTACATTCTTAAAGTAAAGTTCTTTAATTGCATCGTATTACCTAAAATAAAAACCAAACAAAGTTATTATAAAAAGATTACAATTGACTTACGTTTAGAGGGGAAAAAATGGTTTGACTGTATTAAGTAGTAAGAAATATGAGAGACAAACTACCCTGCCTTTTATACCCTTAAGTCCTTAAGGCAAATGTAGAGTGGAATTTTCTGAGGAAAAAAATACACTTTTCAGCAAATTCCTCGTTCACCAGACGAGACTTGAATCCTTAACAGGCGGGCTGCTATTTTGTAGGTCATAGAATTGTAAGTGGCGTAAGCCAAAAGTGTTAGTGCTATTTGTACAAAGGTGTAAAAGTCAATTTGTAGATCAATTCTATAAAAAAGCTTTTCACAAAATTAAATTGTTATATATGTATGCATGTATTTATGAATGTATGTATGTGTGAATGTAAGTAAGTATGTATGTATGTAAGTATGTAGGTTTGTATGTATGTAAGTATGTATGTATGTATGTTAGTATGTATGTATGCATGTATGTGTGTATATATGTATGTATGTATGTTTGTATTTTTAATAAATATACATATGCATATGTGTGTATATATGTCTAAAGGTGAGTATATGTGTACGTGTGTTCCAATGCGTGTTCGTGCTTACGTGCCTAAATGTGTGTGTATGTATTTATACATCTCTTTCTCTCTCTATCTCTCTCTCTCTCTCTCTCTCTCTCTCTCTATCTCTCTCTCTCTCTGTAAATATATATATATATATGAATATATAAAAATATATATCTGTCTATGTGTATATGCATAAATTACTTTTTACATTTTCTGGGAAAAAAAACTTTTTTTTGTCTTCTTTTTTGTAGCTGTGCTTGATAGCGTAAGTACAAAGGACGGCTTCGACTTCATGTAGTAACAGGTTGTAATTTTCCTGAAAATTTAAACAGTTTTCTGCCAGTTTAAGTGTTTAGCGCGCTAGTTTTGGAACGTATCAATGTTTTCATGTAAGTATGTATTTATGTAATCTGTATGTGTATATTTGTATTGATGAATGTATGTAATTTGCATGCAGGTATGAAAATAAGTATCTACTTTTTGAGTGAATCTATGTAGGTTGTATATGAGTATATATGAATGTATTGGTTTTTAAATGTATGTATGTATGTATGTATGTATGTATGTATGTATGTATGTATGTATGTATGTATGTATGTATGTACGTATGTACGTATGTATGTATGTATAGTTGTCTTTATATGTGTATGTTTGTATTTACATTAATGTGTATGATTGTATATATGTATGCATTTATAATTGTATTTTTATGTATGTATGTCTATCTTAATATATGAACATTTGTATCTTGGTGTATATTTAGTGATTTTTGGTTGTATGTATATGTTACTGTTTTTTTTAATTTATTTATCTATGTTTGTATGTATATATCTATGCCTATTTGTTTGTATGTACATACATATGTCTTTGATTGTATGTAATATTAATACATGCATGTTTGCATGTATGTATGTATGTGTTCATGTGTCTTTGTATGTATGTACATATCATTGTATGTTTTTTTGTATTTATATATATATATATATATGTATATTTGAATGTATATTATATAAATATTTGTATGAATTTATGTATGTATCTATGTACCTGTGTATCTATGTACCTGTGTATCTATGTATCTATGCGTATATGCACGCATTACTTTGTTACATTTTCCTAGAAATTGGTTCCCTTTGTGTGTGCCATTCTCTTAGATGCACTAGCGTGTGAACTTGGTACAGGGATCAAGTTCAAGCACTAACGTGTTATAATTTGGTGAACTTTGGCAACTTTTCTGACTGTGTGAACGGGTAGTGTGCTTTAGTGGAGGAATGTGTGTATGTTTAATTGTAAGTGTGTGTAAATGAATGCATATAATAAGTACGTATATGTGTCTGTAAGTGTGTATGTATGTTTGCATGTGTGTATGTATGTTTGTGTCCATTTTTGCTTGTATGTATCTATATATGGAATTATTTATGTTTATATGTATGTACGTATGTAGGTATTTATGTATATTTATATTCATATTTGTATTTATGAGTGTTTGTACGTGTGTATGTATGTATTTAGTTTTGTGTGCATATGAGTAATATGTTTTTAATAATTGTAAAGCGCTTAGAGCTTTAAGGTAAGCGCTATATAAAAATGCCTAAATAAATAAATATGAGTAGCTTTTTATTTATATATCTATTTAGCATCGCCTACCATTTCGTTTATTTCTGCTACTCGTGTGGGATACTGATATAGACTATACAATTCCTGTTTGGTTCGTATTTTCCATCCATATTCATTCTTATTTTCCATCCATATTCATTCTTCATATGTTTTCAGGGGAACTTTTCTCTTCCCCGTATTTAATACGTTTTCTGCCTTTTTGTTGTTGTTTTTTCCCTAGAGTCCATGTTTCACTTGCGTATGTTACAACTGCTCTAATTACAGTTTTAAGTATGGATTTCTCTTTTTTTTTTTTACTTGTAATATTTTTGGTTTTGAGCATTTTCTGACGAGCTGTTTCTAATTTTAATGTCTTAATATGTCTGTTCTTCTCTTAACACAGTCATGTATTTTGTTTTTTGGTTGTAAACCTCCACACCTGCTAGTAGTGATGCATCTTCTAATTCAATAAAATTTGTGATATTTCTTTACAATTTTCTTTTTGTTTTTTTTTTGCTTGCATCCGTCAGTTGCAGTGTGACGATGGTGTAGACTTCGCAGGATGAAATTCACAAGGTCTGTTTTTTTTTGGTACCCACACAGCAAATCGCCTGTCTCGACGCCACTGGATAACCCAATGGAAGATAATGTGGATGATACAGCTTAGCACCAGTGGCATCGCAGGAGTTGTCTGAATATTTCACTGTGCCCATATTACCCGCCTACGGGACTCCATCTCTTAGATGAAAAGCCATCCATGATTAACTGGTGTTGTTTTTGCTTGCTGGGCTCTGGTTGGGATTGAGACCACGAACTCTAGTTTGAGTAAGGATAGACCCACCCGGCCAGCCGGCACTTGTAAATTATTATGTATTTATTAACTCACCCACTACTTGTATATTGTTTTATGTATGAATTTAAAATTATATGTATGTATTTAAGAATGTGTGTATGTATATGTATGTATGTATGTATGCATTAATAAATGTATGTATCTAGGTATGAATATATGTCTGTTTGTATGTATGTTTGCATGTCATTGTATGTGTTTATCTATGTATGTATATGTGTATGTATGTATGTGTGTATTCAATGAGACAGAACAGCTCAGTACGTGGTCAATAAGAGAAAAGATTAAAGAAGAGTGACACTAACAATTATTTCTATCTAAGAATGTGTTAAAACATTCTTTCTTTTTTAGATATTGGTCTTAGGAGAGTATAGAGTATTTGAAATGATCGCTAATTATTGAACACAAACGACAATAGTGTTAGACTTTATAAGGACAGAAAAATTGCAGCGAATCATTTTGTCCTCTTTTTACATGGAGCAGGTCATTAAGTTGTGTTAAATATGTTGGGGGGGGGGGGGGGGGGTGGGGGTTTTTTTTTTTTTTTAATACAACGATGAATTTCTTAATATGCAGCAATTTAAAGTTTCATATTGGAATTTCGGATTACTATAGCTTTCTTCAATTATGTGGCTACATAATGAATATATATCACCTTTTGTAAGACTCTTTATTTTACTCAAAACCCCCCCCCACACACACACACACTTTTTTTAATTTTAAAAATTACCAAAACGTAACTTGTTTTTTTTTTCCAAATAGAAAATGTATCAAAGAAACTTTTTCTAAGGCTACCACCAAAACATTGAATTTATTTGAACATCGAAAACCTTAGGTTATCATAATATAATCATAACACATAACACTACTAAATTAATGAACATCAATATCAAGTGAAAAATAATTATTGAAAAAACAAACAATACAAAAATTTAGCTAGTTGCTTAATAATAATATGAAATAAATCTACATAATGTAATATTACATTTACAATTCTTCTTCTTTATTTTAAGGGCCCACGACCAATGAATTGATCATTCTGGCTCCTATGTTTCAGAGGGGTTTGCGATGTTACTGTCCATGGGTTTCAATGGGATACTTCACTGGTTGCAAGGGTGACTCAGCAGTGGTGTTATGAACTGGGGGTTGGAATACAGGAGGCAATAGACTAGAGGCCGACCGAATTTCGGCTTCGGCTTCGGTTTCGGCGCCGAAAGTGGCCATTTTATCACTTTCGGCCAAGTTTCGGTTTCGGCCGAAACTGGAAAGTTAACTTTCGGCTTAATTTCGGTTTCGGCCGAAAGAGAAAAGTTAACTTTCGGTTTTTCTTCGGTTTCGGCCGAAATTGACTTAGACTTTCGGCCATCCGGCCGAAAGTTACTCAGGTTTTCGGTCATTTAATACTAAGCGAAAGCGATATTTAACAACAAACTAAGCGACATTTAAGAACAAATTAAGCGATCTTTGAGAACAAACTAAATGATATTTAACAACAAACTAAACGACATTTATGAACAAACTAAACGATCTTTAAAACAAACTAAGCGATCTTTAAGAACTATCTAAGCGATCTTTAATAACAAACTAAACGATCTTAAAGAACAAACTAAACGATTTTTAAGACCGAACTAAATGATCTTTAAGAACAAAACAAATGATCTTTAATGATTTATAAGAATAAACTAAGCGATCTTTAACAGAAGACTAAATGTTCTTTAAAAACAAACTGAAAGATCTTTAAGAACAAACTAAGCGATCTTTATGAAAAAACTAAGCGAATTTACAACAAACTAAGCGATCTTTATGAACAAACTAAACGATCTTTAAGAACAAATAAAGCGATCATTAACAAAAACTAGACGATCTTTAACAACAAACTAATGCGATCTTTAAGAACAAACTAAAAGATCTTTAACAACAAACCAGGCGATCTTTATGAACAAACTAAAGGACCTTTGACGACAAACTAAACGATCCTTAACGACAAACTAAACGATCTTTAACAACAAACTAAACAATCTTTAACAACAAAGTAAACGATCTTTAACAACAAACTAAACGATCTTTTACAAC